ATGGATCTTATGAATTGAATCTTCCGCAAGTATCTCGATTAATTTGTGATCGTATTCAACGACGATATCTTAGTCTATTCACGAAATGATGAAGAACATCGGAACCATTTGGAAATGGTACTCCAAACTCTCTCAGAGAACCAACTCTATGCGAAGTTTTCCAAATGTGAGTTTTGGTTAAGACAAGTCCACTTTCTTGGTAATGTAATTTCCAAGGAAGGCATAGCCGTCGATCCAAGCAAAATTGGAAGCCGTTTGTAATTGGTCAATCTCTCAGAATGTCGGTGAAATCCGAAGTTTCCTCGGCCTTGCGGGCTACTACCGACGGTTCGTTCCGAACTTTTCCAAGATAGCCGCTCCACTCTCTCGTTTGAACGGAATGGAAGTCAAGTATCAATGGACTCCCGAATGCGAGTCTAGTTTCCAAGAACTCAAGAAACGATTAACCTCGGCACCAATCCTCGCTCTACCCGATAATACCGGAAACAAAACGGTCTCAGAGCCGTCGTAATGCAAAACGGGAACGTAATTGCCTATGCCTCTAGATAATTAAAAGATAACGAGAAGAATTATCCGACACACGACTTGGAACTCGCGGCAGTCGTGTTCGCCCTCAAAATTTGGAGACATTACCTTTACGGAGAAAAATGTTCAATCTTCACCGACCACAAAAGTCTCAAGTACTTCTTTACTCAAAAAGAGCTCAACATGAGGCAAAGAAGATGGCTTGAATTAGTCAAGGACTATGATTGTGAAATCATTTACCATCCCGATAAAGCCAATGTTGTCGCTGACGCTCTTAGCTGAAAATCCATGCTCGCCTTGATCATTAAATTGCCGCTTGAATCAACTATCAAGTTCGCTCAAGACCATGATGATCAACTTCTCAAAATCCGAGAAGGCTTAGCATCCGGTCAAAGTCCAAATTTCTCTATGATTTATCTAAGGTATTGCATGTTAAGATCTAGTAATTGATGGTTGATCTAAAGTCTTGCATGTTAAGATCTAGTGATTGATGGTTGATCTAAAGTCTTGCATGTTAACATCAAGGACACATCTTTTGAACTTTTACCATTTAATCAAAACAATTTTGATTCACTTTACTTCATGATTATGATCAAGTAAATAAATGAAATTAATCTATACATAATTTAATTAATATTACTCAATATTACTTATTGAAACTCATGAAAGTTCCAACAATAAATAAATAAATATATATATATATATATATATATATATATATATATATATATATATATACTTTTTTTTCTTTCTAATTAATATATTTTTTCGATCACAACTCCTAAAATATGTTGAATTTAAAAAACAAAATTCTTTTTAAAGTACAAGAGCTTTCAAATGAAATATTAGTTGATTGTATTCTAATCGTGTCTCGGTCAAACTTTATTTTTTATTTATGATATTTTTAATTTTCCCAATATTTCAATTATTTTTATAAATACTTGAGTAACGTAAACAAATGACAAAGTTACACTAAAAATAAAAAATTAAAATTAAAAAGTAATTCCACAATTTATTATGTTAGATAAAATACAAAGTACTACAATTTGAGGTGCTAAACTTAAATTATATGCAAAATTTCATATTATAAATTATTTTCTATATTCTTTACAAAGCATTATTTTGTTTTTAAAGTTAAACATGTCTATCTTATCCATAAAAGAAGAAAAAAATCACCCCATGATCTCTAATAGTTATTAAGCTACCTTAAACATTAAATAATATTTTTTCGTATTAAAATAAATTGAGATATTTTAATTTTATATAGCTACAATAATATTACCATCACATAAATTTTCACATTTATAGAAGGATACCTGTTCCTCTCTAAATTCTTTTTTGAACTATAAGTGGCCTTGAAATGTAGTGGTGATGTGACCGGACTCTCTCGTTTTTTCCTTACTTTTTATGCGATTATTCTCATTCTTATGTCTTCTCATTAGTTTGGGCTTCATGTTATACCCGTGTTATTTTATTTTTGATAGGTTTTCTTTTTTTGACAGTTGCATTTTTAGCCATTTTTCGAGTTGTGGCATACTACACTCTTTAGGTAATTATTGTTTTTTGATCTATAGACAGGTTGGGGGTCCAGAACCCTGATCGAGTGTTCGTTCTTCAAAAAAATATGATACACTCCACCAATTTTTGAAAAAAAAAACATGAAACAGAAGAAAACAACAGCAATGGGACTCTAGGGAACGAAAAGGAAATATCTTCTCTACCATGTTTGCCGCTCGTTCACCACCTTTCATCGCCGGGAACCGCCGTCTAAATCTCACCACACTAAGTCATCCTTATCTGTCGTCTTTCTTTCATAAATAACGAGAATGTAGAGAGGAAATGGTGAAAGTTCTCCAGTACCGAAAAATGTATTAAAAATTGGTACTAAGAATTTGGATGCAATTCAGTGTAGGGGAAATTTTTTGCCAAAAATCAATACTGAATTTCGCAGAAGAATTCATTACCGAAAAGGTCGTCTGTCGGAAAGGATGAAAATTAGGGGTGGATATCAATTCCAGCGGCAGACGAGGATGAGTAAGTATTGAATTTTTTTAATGGCAGCGAAAAGCTGTGGTGGATGGCGACGAAAATGGTGGAGCGTCTTCCCTCTTTTTTTCAATTTCAAAGAAAGAGATAAATTAAAGACAATTAAAAAAACCGCTAAAGAGAATAACTACGAAGCAAGTAATTATCATTCAGAATTTTGATAATGACGAACATGCGTAAACATTAGAACAGTTGTTGGAATAATTTAAGGAAAAGATTAATAAAAAAAATGTAAAATGGTCATCTCTATATGTAGGCAAAAAAAATGTATGAAATTATTTATGTATTTTACTATTAAGTACTAAATAATTTTAGATTACATATTATTCAAAATAATTATCAAAACTTTTCACAGCTTTTACCCTTTCGATTAATAAAAAAATTTATTCTTACCTATTATATTTCTATTTAATTATATTAGATATTCTTTTCCGCTGAACATATCAAATGATAATAATGGAGACAGTCTGAATTTGGGGGAACTGTGAGGGCATAAAATTGTTTTTCTTACTTGTTCTTGTTTTTTTTTTTCTTTATTTAACGGAAATATTTAAGTTGATAGATTATAGCCTTATAGGCTATTTTATGTTCTTATGTATAATTATTCAAGTATCGTAGCGACAATGTTAATTTCTTAGGTTTTGGAATTCAGAGTATACTGTTTGGGGCAACAGGACAACAAGCAAGGAATAAATTTTGTTTGAGATTAATCCATATACAACATATTATAATTTATATTCTTGCTATATCTAAGTTATGTCGCAATTTATTTGTGCTACGTATTTTAGTAGAATAGTTTTTTTTTTTTTTTTTTTCGTACTCCAGTATTATTAACATGTAGTTTGCGAAACATTTTAGGGCCTTTTGCATGGAACAACAATGTTGCTATGCTATAAAAGACCAAATTGTTATTACTTCTTCGAATTGGTTTCTTTTCTTTCTAAATAAGGTCTCGAAAATGCATTTAACGTGACAAGGTTTGCGTTGTAATATAATTTACGACAAAGACTATTGTACTAATATGTATATTTCCATTTGACTTCGAGTGCTGACATTGTCTTTAATTTTTCAATTTGATATTCATTGTTCACATTGTCACACACGTGCAACACACGTGCACCTGCCTAATGTATCATAAAATTCACTTTCGTTTAAAAAATACTACAGATTACTGATTTAAATATCCAAAAGAGGGTAATCCTAATTACTATTACACATATTGTCATTACAGATCGGAGGATGCGATCGATAGAAAATACCTAAAACCGTATCAAATGTTTTTACAAGCATATTATACAAATAAAACGACAAGACTAGGTTAAGAACCAACACAATCCACAACCCCTCCATATGATCTCCTCCCGATTCTCAAGCTCGATTCCCAACTTCACTCCTCGGACTCCAAATCCGGTATACCTACAAACATACAACACCTATATGAGCCTTTGAGGACTCAATGAAAATCTTGAATTATTATCGAATACACATAGACTATATATATATATCGAAAACTTGACATATATATATATATAGTCTATAGAGAAAAAACTTAAAATTCGGATATGTCAAGTTTTAGAGGAGATGAATTCTTTTTTTATTCATGTGCTCGTGTGAATTTACGCGAGCACTTGGCAAGTGCTCGCGTAAATTCACACGAGCACATTAACAATATTTTTTTTTTAATATTCTCTCGTGCGATTTTACACGAACATGTGACACCTGCTCGTTTAAAATCACACAAGCTATTTAATTTTTTTAAAAATAATTCTAAAAAAATTGTTTTTTTTTAACCCACTCGTGTGATTTCACACGAACAGAGAAGGTATGCTCGTGTGAAATCACACGAGCAGAATGTCTCTGTTCGTGTGAAATCACACGAGCAACACAATTTTTTAAATTTTTTTTTTTTGAGTTTTATTCTTTAGTTTTATAATTTGCTAACTACATTAATATAAAAACAGAAAGTATACATAGATGTAGATGAAGATATGAATCATTCGAGCTACATGATTACAGTGAATTTTTCACAATTTCGACTGCATTTGATAGTAAAGATGCACTAGTCGAGTGGGCGATGAATATGGCCATCAGTCAAGGACATGAGATTAGGCGACAGTCTTACCACGAGGGCCGATAATATTTGACTTGTAAAAGAGCCTATAAGAGACGAGGAAAAAATGCAGAGGTCAAAACAAGCCGGAAGTCCGGTTCAATAAAGTGTAAATGCCCTTTTGCGCTATGAGGTAAAGAGGGGTCGTGATGGATTATGGCGCCTTACCATCAAAGATGGCAATCACAATCATTTTCCTCATAAATATCCACAAGGACTACGTTCGCTAAGTCGCCTGAGTGAAGAGCAACGAGAAGTGACAAAGATACTGAAAAAGAGGCATGTGAAGCCGAAGGAAATTTTGCATCATCTGAGAGAGATGAATCCGGATACGGTTGCGGCCTTGAGAGATGTGTACAATGAATCACAGAGAATTAAACGAGAGAAAATGAAAGGAAAAACAGTTATACAACATCTGTGGTACGAACTAAGTGAGAGTGGATATAACAAATGGCATCGAACAAATCCAGCTGGTGATGCAGTGCAAGACGTTATGTTTGCGCACCCAGATTCAATAAAGCTTTTGCAGTTATTTCCATACGTCATCCTGATGGATTGCACGTACAAGACTAACAGGTAATAATTATTTAAATGTGAATTACATTTATTATATTATATATATATATATATAAGAGTTGACTAAATTATAATTACCTTCATGTAGATATGAAATGCCTCTTTTGGAGATCATTGGGGTTACTCCCGTGGGAAGGAACTTCACTATTGCCGTTGCTTTTATGTCACGTGAAGATGAGGACATTTATGCATGGACATTGCGATGTTTGCGAGACATATTACCAATCGGGATAGAACCAGAAGTGATACTGACAAATCGTGAGTTGGGCCTACTGAAAGCATTGCCAAACGTGTTTCCACATTCGCATCACATGTTATGTTTATATCACATAAACAGAAACGTTGAGGCAAACCCGTCAAAATTCTTGGGTAACACCAAGTTGGGTGTACTGTTCCGGATGACGGTGTGGGCAAAGTTAGTCGAATATGAGACTGAGGAAGAATACGAATGCAACTATAGAGAGGTAGTTAGATTGTACGGGCAATATCCGAAGTTGATAACTTACATCAATGAAACGTGGTTGATTTATAAGGAGAGATTTGTTAAGTGTTGGACCAACAACATCGTTCATTTCGGTAACACGACGACTAACAGGTATATAAATTGATTTTACTATAAACTCGTTACGTACAATCTTTTATGCACATGTTACATTTATTCATTATTTGAGTGTTTTCTCGAAACAAGGTAGAGAGTGCACATCGTGCATCGAAGCGTTGGATCCAAACATCGACTGGAGCTATGGATACAGTTCAAAATGCACTAGATGCGCAAGTTGACCTTCAAATTAATGAATTGAAGGTGAAAAACGAGAGCAGTAGAACAGTCAGGATGAACAGTAGTTCACTGCCGTGCTTCGGTGCTTTGGTATGTAACGTATCACACAAAGCACTGGACCTGTTAGATAAATAGTACGAAAAGTTGGAAGAGAATCCGGATAGTTGCAACTGTTACCTAAGCCGAACCCACAGACTCCCGTGTGCGTGTATGATTGCAGTTAAAATTGCTGAGGGAGATACTTTTTATCCGCAACAGCTACATCCATTCTGGAGAACATTGGTTGTCGAGCCGAAGTCGGATCCATGGGAGGACGAGGAGGAACCATTTGATCGCACAGTTGCAATTAAGAAAGTTCTTCTCGATGAGTTCGAGAAGTTATCAAACAAAGATTACATGTCCCTAAAAAATGCGGCCAACTATTTACGGGACCTAAATAATCATTCTTCAACGCATTTACAAGAGCCGTCATTTGTGAAGGCCAATGGACGACCTAAGAATAACTCGACGAAGAGGAACTTGTCCGGATATGAGCACATGATGAATCGGAAATCCGAAGTTAAATCTTCTTTGGGCTCTAAGGGTCGCAAAACCCCGACCGAAGGGACGCTAGAGTCAAAACTTAAAGCTGGTACGCCAGAGTCAAAGGTTAAAGGTCGTCCTCGCGGACGTACTAAATCGACGGAAGAATCAGTTGTTACTGCCGGGGACCGGGTCAATTTCTTTTCCTTCCTTCCTCCGTTTCTCGCACAGTCCGTAGCCTCATATGTTAATGTGAGGGCCGATGGAAATTGTGGCTACCGGTGCATAGCCGAAGTTGTTTACGGCAGTCAAGAGAGATGGCCACAAGTCAGAACTGACTTGGTTGAGGAGTTTATGGAGCGTTACAATCTATATTCTACTATTTACGGTGGGGATGAGGGGGGTCGCAATACAGTCGATGATTATATCTTGACATGCAGTCATGAGAGCGGACCGGCGCCACGGACGAAATAGATGTCAAAAGATATGGGGTTGGCGATCGCTACAAGATACAACGCAATGATATTAATATTCACTGAACAGGGTAGCATCACTTATCTACCACTAGTTGGGAACCCCGTGTTATCACGTATTATTCCTATGTCGCTACATAACGATCACTTTATGATCATACGAGTATCGGTTTCATGCCCTCTTCCACGTCTCCATCCTCAGTGGAGGTATTTTGCAGCTCCCAATTTACTACCTCTACGAGATTTTTACGCAGATCGACTTGCTTTTTGGACGACGTTGACTTCTAGGCATAGGTAGTACTGTATTATTGTAATTTTGTTGAACAATTACTTGATTTTGTAAATTAATAATTGTTGAACTACTAGTTGAGCGTGGAAAGTGACTTTGTATCCCGCGCCAAACAAACCGCGGTTATGTGGCAAGTTCGATTCAATTATTGGGAAAGCGATAGTCTTGACTTTTCCAAACTGCCGCAACGCTCGGTCGGGCATGTACGGCTCCACTATATCCATGAACTGTATCGTGCCGTAATACATGCTCCGAGGATGCAAGTAATGTCACCGGTACCATACGGGGTCCAACAAACATAAGCATATTTTAAACTAATTAGAAAAATCCGTAACTCTACTATAGACATAATTAGAAAAATTATTACTCACATCTCTTTCGGTCATGGCGTCGAGTTTTTTCCGGTATTCCTGCAGCGTGGTTTTATTGCCTCCACCATGGGCCCACCTTCTGCATCGAGGCTCAAACTCGGCATATGAACGGGAAAGAGGTGGTCGAAAGCAGGGGAAATACTCAAAGATCCAGCACTGCAAACAAAAACCAATGAAACGTTGTTGATATTAACTACATAGAAGTTTAAATAAATAAATAATTACTAATAAAGGTACACGTACCAGAAGGAGAATAACACATCCACAGAGACTGTTCATTCCAGCGCGGGTGGCAATACCCAATTGGCGGTACATGTTTGCTAAGCATGCCGAAGCCCACGAATACTTGCCGACATTATCGAGATCGTTGGTAAAATGGATCCACCACGGCTTCATGTTACACGCTGTTTTTTCTACAAACCAAACCGACCCAAGCAGAAACATCAAGTAGCCCTTCATCTTCTTCTCGTCTGTGGTGGAGGGAAGGGTCAACTGATCTCTCACCTGAACCCAACCAACTCCCTTGTTTCGAAACATCTCATTGGTGTCCATCAGACTGACACCCAATAGAGATGCAAGACTCTGTGAGCACTCTTCTACCGGGCGAATTTCAGACACTGGCGGTCCGTCCAGCCGCAACGCCAGGATGAAAGTGACATCGTGGAGCGTGATCGTCATCTCGCCCCATGGCATGTGGAAACTGTTCGTCTCCGGCTGCCACCTCTCCACGAAAGCTAGCATGAGGTTCTTGTTCATCCTCTTCAGAAAGCAGTCTCGTAAGTGGTAAAGACCTGTTGCCTCCAGCCTCGCAATCATCGTGTTATCCTGCGGGCCGCGGTAGTCCTCGAGTGCTTTGCTCCTCGACTTTCACCTTGTAGTTTCACGGCGCTCCTGAAAAATATTGCATGTATTGTTAGCTAAAAAAAATGAATAATATAAGAATTATGTAAAGCACGTGTTGACAGAAAACTTACATATCCTTCCCAAATGTACATCGCTATATGCGACTTGAACCATCGCATAAACTCGTAATTTTGTGGCCCTCCCTCGCACGGACCCTCCAAGTACGCCGGACCAGGCAGCTGCGAAAAGGGTAAGCCACGACCACCTCTACGACCCTGATATACATCTGGCTCAACATCTTCCTCCGTCTCCTCGTCATTATCCACATTATCGGGATTGTTGTTGTGGTCATCATCGTCGTCGGCATGTGGCAATGTACTACGAGCTAGCTGGAGGTCGCGTGTAGGTCCAGAGGGTCCGGCTCCAGCTGCAACAGCTTCTCGTCTCAGTCTCTCTTCTTCCCGCTGTAACGCTGCTTCTCGAGCTAACTGCTTTCTTCTACGGGCGGAAGCAAGGACATCTCGGTCTCCAATGCGATCTGGATCTTCCGGATTGTTCCCCTTCCCGCTTAAGGCTTTCATTAAGCTCTTGCCTTTACCGGCAACTTGACTCATAAGACTTTTCCCCCGGCCTCCTGCCATCTACAATTAAAAGTAAGCACTTTATTAATATTTCATATAATAAAAAAAAAAGCATTTAAATAATGAAATGAAAAAAATAAAAACAAAATTAAATTGTTGTGCTCGTGAAAAAACATGGC